CTTGGCAGTGCCCTGCGCAGATAGATCTGCTAGAGATACCTTCGCTGAATTGAAGGCTTCCATAGCCGCAGCTGATTGTTCGGACAGAGTGGTTGGCGGTTCAATTGGTTCTGCCATTGTTGACTTTGGGGATGAAGCTCGATTGCGTGTGTGATTGTCCTTCGTAGTTGAGATTGTAAAGTTGGATGTTCGTGAGATAGTATCAATTTAAAAAGGAAAGTGACCTCTTAATGGGAAAATTGGATGAAATGGGCAGAAGTGAAGGCGCTTTGCGACATGTGAGCAAGTGGTCAGTTCCAGGAACAAGGATCTCGCGACTCCCTCGCGAAAAAGCACTCCAACGCGTCGGATCGCGTCTCCCATGCTCCTTCCACAACCAAAGTTGGCAACATAGCAATGCGAATACTGTGCACAGCACGATCACAATAATGTCTCGACCAAATCAAGGGGAGAAGGCTCGAGCAGCCCCTATATTCAGAGCTCCTAAAACACCGGCCCCTTTCAACCCAATTCCATCGTCGTCGCCAGCTTTTGGAACGCCAGCATATCCCATTAAACCTTTTCAACCCGCTGCAGCACCAGCAAAAGCCAGCATACTCCCTATTATTCTTCCTCCAGCTACTTTGCGGCCATTGGCATTTCGGACATTCACGAAGAAACATAGTTTGACCCTCACGTCCTCCGCTCTACAAGTATTGGCCACATTCATTGGCAGACATTGTGGGACAGAATGGCGAGAAGAAGGGTTGGCAGAACGCGTTCTGGAAGAGGTAGCAAAAAGCTGGAAGAATAGAAACGGGGGAGTTATTGTCGATGGAGAAGCTAATGACCTAAAGGATGTATTGAAGAATCTGGAAGGGAGCATGAGTTGTGGAAGGATAGTTACCAGTAGAGAATTGAGTCGTCAGAATAGTCTAGTGCTTGGGTCTTCACAGAATGGGGAAGTGTCTCAAACAAGACTTGGATTTCGACCAAGTGCATTGGGAAGGGAGGACAGTCAGACAAGTCTTGGGATGTCTTCATTGGAGGTCGACGAGGAAGATGAAGACGACGGTTTAAGGGACCCCAGGAAATGGCTAAAGGTCATTGATGCATTTGACCAACCTCGATTGGTATATAATGTTGGCAAGAAACACTTTGACAGGTCAGTCTGGTAGACTTCACTAAAAGTCGTGCTAATACCCCTCAGAGACACATCAAAACCGTCTCTTCTTCCGTCGGCATCTCACAAGACCCAAGTATTCCGCAATCGCTATAATCTCATCCATCAACGACTGCTTAGAAATGAGTCTTTCCAGACATCAACACTTGAAGCGAAGGCGCCTCTCAAAAGATCTTCCTCTACCCTGGCCACGACGCAACAATCTTACAAATTGACGCCAATAGCAAATCTACTAGGGAGGAACGGCACCAACCATATGATATTAGGTCTCCTGACTATTTCACCAACCGGAACGTTAGCAATCAATGACCTGACAGGTAGTATCGCTTTGGATCTCACGCATGCAAAGCCAATTCCAGAGGATGGTGCTTGGTTTGCACCTGGCATGATTGTGTTAGTTGACGGAACTTATGAAGAGGACGATGATGGTGGAGGAGCGCTTGGGGGGAGCGGTGGTATTGGTGGGACCATTGGTGGTAAATTCGTCGGCTTCTTCGTTGGTGGCCCTCCATGTGAGCGACGGAAGGTGACTCTCGGGCTCACTGGCGATGGTGAAGGCGGGGTCACTGCTGGAGGTGGGTTTGGCTGGGTCGACTTTCTCGGAGTTGGCAGTGAGCGCGCTGTAGGCTCCAAAATGAGGAAACTTGAGCAGCGGTTACTGCTGCCAGGAACAGTCGAGGACGACATAGGCGGCAAAGGCCGCATGATTATTATAGGAGAACTGAGCCTTGACCAACCTAGGACCCTGCAGGCATTGAAGAAGTTACTGGGCTTGTATGCTGCCGAGCCAGAAGAAGACACTCCAATGACGTTTGTCTTGATGGGAAACTTCGTCCAGCATGCAGTCATGGCTCGAGGTGGTAGTGGTGGCAGCATTGAGTACAAGGAGTACTTTGATGGTTTGGCTCTGACATTGTCAGATTATCCAACACTACTACAGTCTGCGACTTTCATTTTTGTACCGGGTGACAATGATGGCTGGGCATCCTCTTTCTCGGCTGGCGCAGCGACTCCGCTTCCAAGAAAGAGCGTACCAGAGATGTTTACCTCACGAATCAAGAGAGCCTTTGCAACGGCGAACGTAGACGCAGAGAAGGAAAGAGGAAAGAAGACGGACGGAGAAGCGATCTGGACAAGCAATCCCTCACGACTTTCCCTGTTCGGGCCGACTCACGAGATCATACTTCTTCGAGACAACATGACAAGTCGTCTGAGGAGGACAGCCATCAAGTTCTCATCTTCGAAGCCAGAAGAAGAGGACGTTGAAATGGCAGGTACACCAGTTGCAACGCCGGAGGCCACGCCTGAGCCCGAGACCGAGTTTGTAGCTCCCGAAATGGACGTGGATACAGACGTGCAGGCAGCAGAGTCTCACATTCCCGATCCTGCTGCAGAAGATGCATCCGATTTGCACGTTGCAAGGAAATTGGTTAAAACGATCTTGGATCAAGGCTATTTATCACCTTTCGGGATGGCAATTCGACCTGTGCTGTGGGACTATGCCAGCTCTTTGCAAGTCTACCCCTTGCCTACTGCAATGATCTTAGCAGATACGGAGGCACCAGCTTTCTGTGTGACTTATGAGGGATGCCATGTCATGAATCCAGGGGGTATTGTAGCACCTGGGCGTCGAGGTGTCGCTAAATGGGTAGAATATGATATCCGGAAAAAGGTTGGAAAGGTGCGGGAAGCGTTGTTCTGAGCTATGCCATTGGGTCTGAGGCGTCTGGGTATAAATCATGCTGGATGAATGATGAACTTGTATGTACGAATGGAATGGGACATGAGGGTGATGTACTAGGCAATAATAGGCTTCGATACAGTGGTTGTCCAAACTCGTTATGGTCTCCGTGAAGAGGGTCGTAGTCCTGCAACCATTCGCCAAATCTCCAGCATTGGAAATATTCCAAAAGTCTGATAAATCGAAGATGATTCTAGCCTCGAAACCGGAACAGAAGAGCTCGCGAACCGCTGGACTTTTGAGGGGGTTCCGTCACGTGCACTAGCTGGGACCCACTTTCAGCGATAAAGCTTTAATCTAATCGATAGCGAAAAATATATTTCCCAAAACTCTCAAAATTTATCAGCCCACTTCACCAGTCAATATTTCTGGCGACTTTCTCAAGAACCTTCCTTTCTTTGACTCGAGAGCAAGATGGGAAAACTCAAGTCAATCAAGCGCAACAGCACCGCCTCTGCAGGCACACCATACTCAAAAGCGCAAACAGCAACGAACAACGTCTTTAAGTTCAATACCAATGTGGGCCAGCATATTCTCAAGAACCCAGGTGTCGCCGAAGCCATTGTCCAGAAAGCGAATCTCAAACCATCGGATGTAAGCATCAATTTCTCGGAGTATTATTCCCTCTTTCGGCATTTCTCTGGGATGCATGCTCCATCTGCACTCTAGCTGTGCTCTAGACACACTCTTAAGACATGTATTTGTGCTCTTGAAACACACAAAAGAAGTTAGCTGACTCCGAGATCTTGGTGAACAGGTGGTTCTTGAAGTCGGTCCTGGTACAGGAAATTTGACAGTGAGGATACTGGAGAAGGCAAAGAAGGTCATTGCGGTGGAATTAGATCCTAGGATGGCCGCTGAGGTTTCGAAACGAGTGCAAGGTAAACCGGAGCAGAAGAGATTAGAAGTTCTGTTAGGCGATGTGATCAAGACCGAATTACCGCCTTTTGATGTTTGTATTAGCAATACACCATATCAGGTATGTCCATCTCCATGCCCTTAACGTGAAAAGGACTAACGAAAGTTCAGATTTCGAGTCCTCTAGTCTTCAAGCTTCTTGCTCTACCAAATCCTCCTCGAACCTCAATACTCATGTTTCAACGCGAATTTGCTCTACGACTTACAGCAAGACCAGGGGATGCATTCTATTGTCGATTGTCAGTGAATTCTCAGTTTTTTGCCAAGATCACACACATTATGAAAGTCGGGAAGAACAATTTCAAGCCACCGCCACAAGTCGAGTCTTCAGTCGTGCGAATAGAGCCTAAGTTGGGTGCCGAGAGACCTGGTGTGAGTTGGGATGAATGGGACGGCATGCTCCGTATCTGTTTTGTGAGGAAGAATAGAACCATGCGAGCGAGTTGGCTTGGGACTAAGGAGGTACTGGCTATGGTAGAGAGGAACTACAGAGTTTGGTGCGCTACGAATAATGTGGCTGTGGATGATACAATTGTTGGTGAAGAGGATGATATGGATGTCGATGGTGGCCCTGCAGAAGAGGAGGAATGGGGCGGTATTATGGATGTGGAAGAGGAGGCCGATGAGACTCCTGCTTTCTTCAAGGAGGAAGCTGAGCGGATAGCAAAAGAGAATGAAGGGAAGACGAAGAGTAAGAAGAAGAAGACGAGAGTAGCAGAGCTGGTGAGAGAGAAGATCAGGAAGGTGTTGGAGGATAAGACAGAGTTGGCAGACAAGCGTGCAGGGAAGTGTGATGAGAACGATTTTTTGAAATTGCTGTATGCGTTCAACGAGGAGGGGATCCATTTCGCTTGATGGAGAGCTGATACCCCGGGTTTTGGCTTTAGCATGGCGTTGGTGGGGTTCTGTGGTAGAAAAATCTGCTTGAGAAAATTTGACTCGCTTGCTTCGGTTAAGCGTTCAGGGGAAATGAAAAGCCACAATAGGCGCATTTGCAAAAATTAATGCTTTACACGAGAAAAGGCTTTACTTGTGTGATTCATCTTGAACAATAGTGGGATTGTTATAGGTTTCCGACTCTTCGGGATAGGGTGGCTGTGAATTCCGGGGCAAAAAGGAATAACCTCCCCGAGACTCAACCACCATCACTAAAAAAACGCAAAAAAGAATGAAATAAGCTGAACAGAGTGGGACTCGAACCCACGCCCCTTTCGAGACCAGAAAATGTTATTAAGGTTAACCTTAATCTGGCGCCATAACCAACTCGGCCATCTGTCCTTCCTGCTTGTGATTGGTTGATGTCTTGATTATTTAATTATATATAGGTATTTTTCTATCCCAAACGCTTCGAATACTTGCCGAAATTAGGCGAGACCGGCAATCCGTAGTGGAATTTCTTAGGTATGTAAAGCAAAAAGACGTTTTTCGGCTTTGCGTTCAAAAAGCTAGTCCACGCAACACAACCGCAGCTTGATATGAGCGTTTTTAGATCTACCTACGTGTTACCGACTACCTTTGAATACAAAAGCCAAAAAAAAAAAAACTGTCAAAAAAATAGGCTCCAAGATAAACTCGGGGACATGAACTCTAGAGAAACTCTCTGACGGGGAGTCTATTTTATATTAGTTTATGCTCATGAGTTTCGATTCAGAAGTGCTTACCGAACCCCGATCTCCCGCGTTTTATCTGTTATGACAAGCGGAAATCATGACCGTTAGACCATCAAAGATATGTGCTAGTTATTGTTAGGCTTTTGTGTATTTAAATCTATATAGTACGGTAGTAGGTGAGTCAAGAGCAAGAGCAGGTGGGGTCTCGGTTGACTCGTTTGTAGGCAAATGCACGGTTATGACTAACTGCTTTCTAGACCTCACGTCCAAGGTCCATGAATAAGTTGAAAACGAACTCTGGTATTGATCAATTGATGATACGAGTACACGATAGTGAGCTTCATATTGTCACAAGGATCCAGACGATGTCAAAATTAGAGTGTCATATCTCATCATTCCCATTATTCATTGCTACCAACGCCGATATTCTCCCATGCCAGTATCTACATTATGGTATCATGCTCTAGTCGAACTCCGGCCCTGCTCTCGTCCCGCTGATCTGCTCGACTTCTTCCTGACAGGCTGGTACACATCATTAAAGTTCATAACAACACCCAAGAATCTCATGTCCACATCTGGCTGGTATGCCAAATCACCTAACAGCAAACATACTCTCGACCTGAAATGTGCTCCCAAGGCCTGTAGTCTTTCTTGCAGAACAGGAAACTCGTCTACGATGGAATCATCGATGCCCAACGCCGGCGTCGAATCTGGTAGACGTGGCCCACGACGAGTCGTAGCAGGTGTGTTGATCAAGACCTCGTCGTCTTCCCGTCTATTTTGCGCATCGTTGCGAACATCAGCGCCTTGACGCTTCGTGAAATCAGACACCGACCAACTGTACAGTCCATCTACCGCATCCCGATAGCTAAGCATTAGCCGTAAAATCTCGCCAAGCTGGACCATGAAGGTATTCTCGTCCACTTCGCCGTGATGCTTCTTCTTCGCACCAAGGAGACCTTTGTGAGTGATAGCATTTAGATACTTGGTATGTGCCTTAATGAGGTCGTCCAAGGTACAGCCTTCCTTGTGTATGGCGGTCTGGAGCTCATCCCACGAACTTTCAATGACCTCAAACAAGATATAGTATTGCAGCTGTCCAATGAAATGAATCATCTCGGCCAAAACACCTCTCGTAAGCTTCCAAGCCTTGGTGACATTCTCATCCTCTCCTTGGAGCACACCACGTGAACCAGTCATGCACTTCCGCCATGTCGAAGCTAGAGCAAACTCAACACGCTTGATTCGCCACAAGAAGTTAAAGACTTTGAGATATTGTCGGTTGCCCCACTCTGTCACCACGACATCCACGGGAGCATCAATTTTGTACTCTAGTGTGAAGCAGTCCCAACCGATGTCACCGTGCGACAACTGGAGCATCCTAGCATCCAGCCTGCGAAGAACCTCTGGAGAATCGTATTGTGCATTCGAACCTCGAATGGCATGCTCAAGTTGGGCTGTGAGGGTGTGGCGGTATTGTGCGCCCGCTGGCCGATCGAGGTTGGAGGACAACGATTCCATGAGAAGTGCAATGAAATCGCCTTGTCCGAGAAGAATATAATTCTTGAGCGCTTTTAGATGGTCGAACAATTGGAATTTTTCGGCCATCAGATAAATGAGACGAGCCATGGTCGTCTTGTACGCCTCGTCGATCCAGGTCTCGAGTGTAGCTGTGTCTCCATATCTCAATTCTTTCGATGCAGCTTTTGAGTATTCTTCAACCCACTGAGAATCGCCGCATCCGTATCGAATAAAGTTGAGAGACTTTCCAATCAAAAAGACCTTTTGTGCAAAATCCTGTGTGATGATGCTGGGTACCATGTCCTCATTCAGCTTGTATTTGTCTTCCCAGACACTACTCGCTCCTCCACGATTTCTGCCATCTGAAGTATCGTTGATTGTGTTAGGATCTTGCTCCGAGACGAAGAATTCGTGATAGGGGTCAGATAGTTCTCCATCGTAAATCCACTGTCGGAGCATGTCATAGAAAGGCCGTGTGACATGGACTAGAAGTCTCTCAGCAAAGGCTCCTACCATAGGGTCACCATGAGATGATGAGAACCCATGTATCAGGGATATCAGCTGTCCCCCTTTCTTGCTCTTGGATTCCTCGCTGATCAAGCTCATCAGCCGAAGGCCCATCGTGGCTTCCCGGGTCCACACGACACATCTCTTGAGAGTCACTCCTGCTTTCCCGATGCCGCCTCTTGGCTCTCCCTCATCAAGTGAGGCTAACGCTCGGCGAATTTGACCTTCCAAAGTGGCTACCAGACCAAGATATGACCTCAATTTGCCCCCAATAGCCGCTCTTAAGCTCTGCCCCAGAAGTCCACCACCGGGGGACTGAATGAAGGATGCCAAGCCTCTGTATAGAAGAGATGGCTCAGCTAGTGTGTGAAGAATAGAAATGATCGGTACAGGTAGGGTCGAAGGTAGTTTCAAGGTCGATTCTGAGGAGAAAGGAAGATGGCTTGAGGATAATCCTTGTAGCGTAAAAGGTAGATCTCTGAGGAGAGCTGTCTCAGGAGGATTAATCTCGATATAATTCTCTGCCAGAAGAGCCGTCTTGAGTGCGACTCCCTCGCGCTGAGTTGCAGCAGACTTTGCAAATGCCTGTTCTTCCTCTTTCCTATCCTGTTGCCCACCCTCTCGTTCAGGGAGCTTCTTCAGTCCTTCGGGTGCGAATGCCTCAGCCGGATTCTCGTCTTTTCTTTTCGATCCATAATTCGGTGAGCCAGGTATTACATCCTCAATATTCCTTCTTCTTTTGACCGGACTCTTGAAAGGACTTGTGAGAATAGGCGGTGATCTCTGCTGTTGATCGCTAAGCTGGTAGAGGAAGTAAAGAACAGCCCATTTCTGTGTGATGACTGGTATGGAAAGAAGTCGACTGTAAAGGTTCGTGAATCGCAGAGCTTTCTCAGGACTTGGGTTTGTTTGTATTAATCGTTTCTTGATGAGGTCTGAAGCTTGATTGACATCTGCGACAACTGCTGGGCTATTCGAACTATGTACATATGAATCAGCCTATGTATTGACGGCCGAAAAACGAACCAAACCTTTCCAAGATCTCTCTCACAAAATCCACAGCACTGTTTTTCCTCTCTTCTGCCGAAGCAGGATCCTCTCCCGGAATCTTAACTAGAAGCCGTCGCACTAGGGAATTGATACCGGTATTGACACGTTGACTGCGTGAAGACATATTATCATTGTCGCAAACGGTCAAGTAGATTGAAGATTTTATTTGGGCGGAGAAGCATTCTGTTTTTGTTGTCGCGTCATTGTGTCGTTGTGTCGCGCCTTCCGCCTAACCCAATCGAGATCAGGCAAAGAGGGAACGTTCGTTGAACATCAATCGTCACGGAGGCGCAAAGCGGTCGATTTCCATCAACCACAACGCTAAATTATCTTCAATCATCGCCAAACTCCGTCGCTAGCTTTGGCTGGAGCTGATAATCATATGGCCTTGCTGGGAATAATCCATCTCGCGATGTGAAGACCGCCTCAGGCGCGACGAAATAACCATGCCCGATATCGAGCCATCGCTGTTGAGCCGCCCTGCCATCTCGACAACACCTATTTTACCTCCAAAGACCATAAGCTCATCTGCACCGAGTGTGCCGAAAGTTTCTAAGTCCTACAATGTGCCTGCGCGGATTGATCTCGAGCCGCTGTATACGGCGCTCAAAAATGCGATAGGCGAGCACTGGGCAACATACAAAGAGTCTATCAGTCTCTTTGTTATGGGTTCGTACATATTCCAGTCGTGGCGCATACAATCCGAGTTGAATTTTTGCTTTTCTATGAGATATCAATTGCTGACCAGAACCCCTTCATCAGGCCAGTTGAACCAAGCCGAGTTATCAGCCAAAATCGACCCCTTTCTCATAACTCCGACCGGGGAAATAGAACATCTGCATAACCAATTGATCGCTGGAATATATGGCAATGTCACTCGAGAGATGCCCGAGTTGGGTGCAATAGCCCCTTGGGTGAGCGCAAATGATAAGCCGACGACAGGGGCTGGCAGCAAACCTGTCAGTGGAGATGCTGCAGAACAAAGACTCAAGACAGAAGTGATGCAACTTCCAAGCCGTGATCGAAGGCGGTTAAAAGACTTGAGTTTAAATGATGTAAGAATACTTGGATGTTTTGGCGTTTCAATTACTCATATTACTAGTTTGATCCCATGCACCCATTCGATACTTTATGGGGAGAACGCCGCCACACCACAAAGACAAAGCTTGTAGATGCTGTTCCTGCAAGTGCTGGCGGTCTAAATAAAACGAGTAGGTTCCCCTATCCGAATGTTGAAGCCTAATGCTAAACGAACCTAGACTGGGATCTTGAGATCCGGAAACGTTACGCTCAACCTCTAGCTTCAGAATCTGGAGAGTTCCCTGACACCTCTACTATAGAGTCTCGGATGTTGCCTATATGCTATGAGACTGGGCTAGTCTCTGGCCATGCGCCAGATGCAGCTCATTTTATGTCCGTGGCTACAGAAACGTTCATCAAGGAAGTACTGTCTTCAATCTTCAGTAAGACGCGCAGCAATGGCCCTGGTACAAGTGGAACTGCTGGGACTGGTGGTGGGGCTAGCTGGGTTCAAACACACAAGTACCGGACACAGCTCGAGAGAGAAGAAGAGGCTTCATTACGAGGCGA